TCCTGCTGAGGATAAGCTTGCTTTGTTTTAATTCCAAGAGCATCTTCAACTGTTGCACTATCTGCATTGTTGCTGTATTTGTACAGGCGCTCGCTGATAGCTGAGCCTGACTGTTGCCTGCTCTCTTTGGTAGGTCAGCAAAACTGGAGCGGAGGGTGCTGTTCTTGATGAAGCTAAAAATATCAATAAGTCTTTGTCTGCTTTGGGCAATGTGATATCTGCCTTGGCAGAAGGAACTGTAAGTAATCCTGTTTTGTGTTGTTGGAGAATGGCTTTTTATTTATCTGGTTTTTTTGCCATGGCCATAAAAAAATAAGCTAACATTTAAATTCAGAAAGAAGAAAATATTAACTTTCCAACCACAAACCAGTTGGCCTGTTTGCTATTCTGCTAAAGATAAGAAACTAATTCTGAGTGATTTCACTTGAGTGGTTATCCAATCTTAGCACAATCAAAACAATTACTCTTCAGGATTCCATGCTTCAAATCTATTAAACCTGTCATTGTCGACTCATGTTCTCTCTCGTTACAATATCATTATTTAAAAAAAAATGTTCTTGTCTCTTACTTATATTTTGATTAGAAAACCCATGTTCCATACCGAGACAGCAAAATGACCCGAATACTTCAGGATTCCCTGGGTGGGAACTGCAGAACCACCATCGTAATATGCTGTTCTCCTTCTGTGTTCAATGAAGCAGAAACAAAGTCAACCCTGATGTTTGGGCAGCGGTGAGTCCTACTTGGCACTAGGCTGGATGAGACTTACTCAGGCTCTTCCACGTGTTCTGAGCCAGCCGTGCTGAGGGGAATGAGATAAGTAGGTGTTTTAAAATAGGGAGGTTATGGCTTCTGGAGTTGTTCAGGAATAGTACTGGAGAACTTGAGAAAACTGTCTCTTTATTCCCTGTGGTACCAGACAAACGTTAATGTTGGCCAGCAGCTGCACTACTTAGAAGCTCTGGTAATTTTTGCTGCAGGAAGTATAAAGCATTACAGTAGTTCTTTGAAATTTTATGGGGAAGATAATGATATTGGGCAGTTTTCAACTGGCTAACTCAGTGGAAAATGTTTGGTTTTGCTTTATCTGATACTGTTCTTGATGCTTTTAAGATGTGTCTTCTCCTTGTATGGCATCTCAGGGATTATTCTTAGGGTTGCAAAAAATCGTTTTTAACCATTAAGAAAAATGACGAATGTAGACACAGTGTAATATTGACAGCTTCAGTAGATTGCCATGATAGCTCACAGACATTTTTATGTGTTTGAAGGATCTTAACAATTTAGGAACAAGTCCTCAGAAACAAGCAAGGATAATATAAATGTGGAAGTAGTGTTCAGAGAAAATCTCATTTCATATGTGTTCGTTGCCAATAGTAATTTGAAATACATTTGGAAGGTTTGCAAGAATAGGTCTGGCTCGTTACGTAATTACTGCTGTTGTTGCAGTTGGGGAGAAGTCACTTTGTTTCGTATATGTTTATTTGTATAATAGCAGAAGTAAAAAATGCTACCAAGTTATGAGTTTTTGAAATATAATTTATTTAAGTTTGTACAATATAATGAATCTGTCTTTGAAAATGGGTTGTTTTCCACCATGCATGATTTTTGAATCGAAGCCCACACTTTTGAGGAGCATTTTATATTGGAAAGTAAAATCATGTATAAAAGGTTAATCTGACAATCTTCTATTAATTCATTGCCCCATTTTTATCTTTTAAGGTGAGCTTTCCTTAGATTTTAGCGAGGGAAGATGATCCCTTTAGTGTATTCGTATAAGAGTACGCCAAAGTGCTGGCTGGGTGGTGCAGGACAAAGGGACGCAGCTGGGTGCAGTCCCTCTGATGGGACAGTGGTGGATTAGGGCTGCTGCTGCAGGTTAGGGCTGGAGGGCAGTTCTGCAAACACGCTCCCCATCTGGCCTTGTTAGAACTGGTATTAACTTTTCATGTTGCTGGGATTTGTGGAAGGTGGGGAGGGACCCATGTGCCGCAAGCCAGATAACTGCAAAAAGGACCCATTCCTCTGATCTCTGCTTCCTATAATGTGCCCTTCCTATAAGCTACTCACCTCAGTAACGGCACATGGGAAATGCTCCCCAAAGGGAACTTCACAGGTCACTACAGTAAGTTTTTATGTAAAAGGACTATAAAAGGAGGAAGTAGTCGTTAACATGTAATCTGGTTAAGGGTTGCTCTGCTGCTTTAATTCACTGTTGCATGATGAACTTAAGTTACTGAAGATACAAGCTTCTGCTGAAATCCCATATATTATAATGTCACAGAAATTTTGAATAAATGCAAATATTAAGATGCAGTAATTAAATCAAGAGTGTTAACAACTCTGAAGTATAATGAGTTGCACGGTTTTTGTTGATGGTAAAAGTTTAGATGTTTTGAGAGTTCACAGTTTGAACCTCCCCAGGTGCAGTTTTCTGACTGCAGGTCGTTTCAGACAAGTGTGTGTCTTGCACCTCTGTAGAACAGAAGAGTGGGCCCACAGTTCCTGCTAATTCATTCTGGATAAGGCTCCAGGGCAGGAAAGCTGCCGAAGGGACATTTCATTTCAAATAAATGAGTAGGTACCGTGTTAGGTTTCAGTCTGCTTGCTGTTAAGCTGAACTCTCTGTCTGCAGGTACAATTCGAAGTAAAAAGAAATATAAACAGTAAAATATAATAGTTCAGATTACAGGGATTAAAAGGTAGTGTAGCTTTTTAAAAATGTATTACTTTATTTACTTTATTTTCTTAATCTAGATTAAAAAGCGTTTGCTTTTGCTCTGTAGTTCATAACAGTGCTCCAGGATCTCTGGGGAATTGTGTGCTTGGGTACTTAAGGAAGCGTGTGTAGAGGAAGTCCAGTTTCCACGGTATTTCAGTTTATATTTCTCTTGGTTTCATTCTTCTTTTTAGTAATCAGTAAAACTTGCCTTTCTGATTGGGGCAAAATAATTTTCAACCCAACTGTGCCCATCCTGGCTTGCAGAGCTTGGAGTGGTGTGACGTGACGAACACCTTTTGAGGAAGAGGAACATTTTTGAGATGTTCCTTACTGAGGACTAGGATATCAGCTGAAAGAACTGGGGAAAGAGCCAAATACTTTGTGAGAGTGCTTCGTGGGGATTTATTGTAGGGGTTTTGTTTGTTTGCATAAAAGCTATAGAATTGGGCTGAAATAAAAGGAATACGAGTAGGAGGACTGGGGATGCGCTAGGCCTGCAGAGCAGCGCGCGTCCTGTACATACACAGTGTTAGTTGTCAGCAGTTTGGATAGGAATGTTGCTGTCTGCGGGAAGCGGGCTCTTTTACAGGCTCTCTGGTTGTGGCATTTCATTTTTCTGACGTGACAGCATTAAGGGCCTGAATAACATTAAAGGGAAGGTATATGAGTCATGGGCGATTACTGGGTCCTCCATTTTTCTTAGCAAAAAAGAATTATATCACCATTAAAACAAGTGTCAGGAGTAAAATTCATCTTCCCAGGCCCACTTAGGCTAATCAGCCTGTGCGTGTGCTCAGCAGTGAGTCCGTTTCTTCTCTTTCAGCTCCATCTTTTCTTGTGTTTTATATTATTTTTAATTTTAGTTGCTAGTAAGTACTTCATCCATCATTAGGGTAACGCAGCCGATACACTTTATGGTGTGGCACTTTTTTCCCCCGCTACTGTTAAATGAGCGGAAACTTGAGCCGTGTTCTTGGCAGGGACAATATGTAAAAGCTAACCATTAGGCATTATTTTAAAAGTATAGGGTTATTTTTAAATATTTCTGAGGTAATAAAACTGCTGCTTGCCACATTCTGCAAATCGCTGGAGCGCAATTTGGAGTATCAGGCACAGATATGGGAGTGTTTTCTTGCTGACAAAACAAACTTTCAGGACTTTTAGTGACTGACCACATTTAAAGGTTGTTTTAGCATCATTAAATGGAGCTGTGAAGAAAAGAATTAAGATCATATGCTCTTCCCAAAGGAGAATTAGCCAGAGCATCTATAGCCCATTCCTAGGTATAGTTTCTTGCACTGGCGTCTCAGCCTATGCTTTAAAAACCAGCAGGAGGTTTGTCTGGTTTTCCTTTCCTTAGTCTCTGTTTTATTCAGTAGTCATTGGGAGGGGTCTCAGTGTCTGAGCAGTGAAGGGCGAAGATCCAAAGCTTTCTTAATTCATACCAATTTCTTTAGTTTTTCTTTTTAAATGTGGATTTGCTGTGCATTGTTTTCTGCTTGCTTTGCATTTTTCTAATGCAATCGTTTAGGTTCAGTTGGAGCTAAGCAGTTCACAATAATAAAGTGGTGGTGGTTGTTGTTAGAAAGGTTTACGTTTTATGATTTTTGCCTAGAGAGGTGGTAACTTGTGAGCCTGCCTACAGAGGCACAGGCACAAGTTCAGGCTCCCTTCCCACTAACAGCCTTCCTCAGCCCAGCAGTAACCCAGTTCCCTGGTGGTGACCAGCGGTTCTCCTTCTCTTCCTTCCACCCCCAAAAACCTGTTTGAAAGCGCTGTTTGGCTTTCAGGAAGGGTGAGTTTCCATATCTCTGCTTCACAATGTTGACATCCTTTGTGCTGTGATGCTTGAAATACGGCTGAGTTTTGTTGGTGGAGTTTAAGGGACAGTTGTTAAGAGATGGAGCGATCCCGTGGTCAGGTGCTGGTGTGGGGTACTCTATGGTGGGTCTCGGGCCAGGAGAAGCTGGGAGGTGACGGCTTACCTAGCAGAGCAATAGTGACAGGACTTGGTTTTGTCCTTAACCCAAGAGCAGTTTCCAGAGCTTCTCTATTTGGAGGAATCTGAAGAGGCAGATCCATGTCTGCTCCAGGCCACTGGCTGCCAGATTTTGATAGAGAAAAGTTTCTGTTGAGGCTTCCAGGTAGTAACGGTACTGAGGGTTTGAGGGAAAATGGAATTGTGGCATGGCACTTTAGAAAACAGATTGCAAATGTTTAGTAGTTTCCCTTTGTTACGGAAAAATTTCTGAATCTTTACTATTGGTATTGAGATAAAAGTCGCAGAGCGACTGACCCCTTGTTTTGTTGTGCAGAGCTAAGACGATTAAGAACACGGTCTCTGTGAATCTGGAGCTGACCGCGGAGGAGTGGAAGAAAAAGTACGAGAAGGAGAAAGACAAAAACAAGAGTCTAAAGAATGTTATCCAGCATCTAGAGCTGGAACTGAACAGGTGGAGAAATGGTACGTACCAGAAAATGGGAATGAGTATGCGTCTTTGTATTTTTAAGTTACATACGTTTAAATCTTGCCTTAAATCACAATAGTCATACTAATTCTAAGCTTACCACTTGGAGTTGTAGCTCACGCTTCGTAATAGTAACTGAAAAGTGAAGCAGCACAAACCAGGGAAACCAGCAGCAGCCATTTACTGAAGATACCGTTTTAAATGCCAAAACTAGCATGATAGCGGATGTAGAGACTACAGGAAGGCACCAATAATTTTGAATAACATTAGTAATATTAATAAAGAAAAGGTAAAATGTCATTATGTTTGGGGTTTTTTAAAAAGAACTCTGCTCCTCAGGCATGAGAATCAGTTCCATTATGCTTTAAGGTAACTAGATCTTGGTTTTTTTTATAATGAAGTTTAACATTAGACTAATTAGTCCTTTACTAATATGATTAGGAGTGTCATCTGATTAGAAGAATCACTGCTTGCTGCCTCCTGTGGCTTCTAAGTGAAATTTATGTTGAGAACAGCCAATTTTCTGTTCAGAAACAAGGGGAATTGTTGTTCAGGGTAGGTTGTAAGATCGAGTGTAGGATGGTAGAGGAGGAAGAATGTTTTTATGCACACATAAAAATTAAAGAATTTTTATTTAATCTGCAACATTGAAAAATAATTTTAGCAAACCATCCTTACTTTTAATTTTTTTATTCCACATACTAAAAAAAAAAAAATCAATCTCTAAACCAACAAACAGCCCCCAACCCAAAGAAACCAGCCCTGCATCCCCCTTGCACCCTGAAATCCCAACAAATCCACAACAGAAAAATACTGCTTCTTTGGAGTAATTTTTATTTTCCAAATTGCTTGTCATCCAGGTTCTACGTGTTGATGTGTCTCTCAGTTTAATAGTATGTAACTCTTGCAAACATGAAGTATCTAAAGTGAGAACAAATCTGTGATTGATCTGGCCAGGCTGGATCCATGGGCCCAGCCCAGTTGGGTGAGGTTCAACGAGGCCAAGGGCCGGGTCCTGCCCTGGGGTCACAACAACCCCACGCAACGCTCCAGGCGTGGGGCAGAGGGGCTGGAAAGCTGCCCGGCGGAAAAGGAGCTGGGGGTGTTGGTCGCCAGGCGGCTGGATATGAACCAGCAGTGTGCCCAGGTGGCCAAGAGGGCCAGCGGCATCCTGGCTTGTATCAGGAGTGGTGTGGCCAGCAGGAGCAGGGCAGGGACCGTGCCCCTGTGCTGGGCACTGGGGAGGCCGCCCCTC